TTTGATGATCTGAATCTTTTAAGTATATTAACAAATATGCAAAAAATTAAAAAAACAGGAAGAGGGCAAAAACCTTTTCACACCACTGTATATAATTTATATCATACATCAATACTGTATATATCATATATTACATGGCTGTTTATAACACTTGATTCTGATTGCGTTGTTCATCGATCAAATATTTACTAATATGTCACGGTTGTCAATGGCAACGCAGTATATCATCTGGGTAATGGACACTGGTGTCATGAACAAATGGGTTCGCCACAAAACCCCTGGTTTAAAGATTTATGATATGTCATTTTAAGTTTAATTATTTGAATTCATTTCAATAATAAGTTACATGTAGGCCCTAATGTTAAAAATTCTAGGCTATGTATTGTAAAATAAATATTCTACCTTTATTCATAGTATAACACTTGTCTGCTAGCAAATTAAACCTCATATTTTCTTTAATCTAAGATCAGAAAGGAACTAGTGCTGGGCGGTTTGACCAAAAATCTGTATCATGTTTATATATATATACAGTATATATTCTGGCGGTTTCACAGTTTTTACGGCTTTGTGAAATGATGCTACATAAAATGTATCTGCACAAAACAAAAACAGTAGGGCCTTGACCCAAATGGCACCCTATACCCTCACGGTCTTCCTCTAAGTCCACACTTTTGTGATGTAATGCCTCTTTGACTGTCGGCTAGAAGTCTGCTGCGGAGCTCGCCCTAGTATGGGCTCGGCAGAAGTGCGTATCAAGGGCGCAAAGGGGGTGCTCGTGGGCACACTTTCAAACGCTAAAATGACGACTGGGACACCCTACGGTCTCGTGTACTTAACGGACACAGGCACGAGGCGGCCATTGTAAGTCCACAAGACAGAAAGTGCTTCTCAAACAGAAGACGGCATCCAACGAAGGCTGCATATCTGTCACCAAACGTCGCTGTTCGTTTCATGTCCTTCATTCAGCTGTCAGGTTGGATGGGGCTGACGCACATTTTCAGGTTTCTCCAGCAATATTTGATTGGGTTAAATTCCAGGCTGTGGCTGGGCCTCTCGGAGTTGTCTATAAGCCACTCTTGCTGTGTGTTTAGGTTCATTGTTCTGTTGGAAGGTGAACCTTCTGACCAGTCTGAGGTTCTGAATGCTCTGGACTGGGATTTCATTAGGGTTATCTCAATATTCTGGTGCATTGAGCTTTTCTTCTACTCGGACAAACAGCCCCACAGCATGAGGCTGCTACCAGCACACTTTACTTTTGGGATGGTACTCTGCAGGTGATGAGCAGAGCTGGTTTCCTTCAAACATGATGCTTAGAATTGAGGTTCATCAGACCAGAGAATCTTGTTTCTCAGAGTCCGAGGGTCCTTTAGGTGCTTTTTAAAAATCAAATTCCATGTGTGTTTTAATGTGTCATCGGAGAGAATTGAGTTTGGCCACATCGCCATAAAGCCCAGATCGGTGGAGTGTTGCAGTAATGTTTGTCCTTCTGTAGGTTTCTCCCATCTGCATATAGAGCTCCAGAGGTTGATGCACTCTAAACTCCACCATTTTGGCAGGCAATCATGAGAGCGCTAGAGCATTGGTATCGACAGTTGTACAACATTAATTTAAAACCAGACTATTTAGACCTTACAAACCTTACTATTTCAACATGGTGGACAACTGCTCTGCACCTTTTTCACAACAACGTAAAAAACAGTTTTAGCTTCAAGCAAAAACCCGTTTAGTATAGTCTCCTCGTTTCGACACGCTGAAACTATCGCTGCTTTTGTTGAAAAAAAAAAAGAGTATTGCAATAAAGGATATAAAAGGCGAGTGAACAGATATTTGTCAGTTATTGAGTAGGCTATATCGACCTCTGTGCGCATTTAATGCATATAAGGCCGCAGTCGCACAACTCTTTCGCTTTCGATTTTAATTCAAATAATTTTTTGTGCAATTTTGACAGTCATTGAAGTGTCTATCTTGACACTGTTTTGTCTGTTTGCCAAAACCAAGGTAAGAATTATCTGAAATTTCAAAAATAGCTACTTAAGTTACATGTTACTGAACTCTGTTTCCGGGTCTAGCGATCAGGATTTGTTGGAGTTTCGCAGATGACATTTTATTATTAGAAACATGGATATTCATTGTGTAAAAACACGATGTTTATGCTTTAAAGCAACACATAAGCACACTTTTGTGCCTCTTTTTGATGATACCAAAAGGCATTGCTCACTTACAGACTGGACAAGACGTTGTGCAGATTACTTTGATTAAAAAAAAAATTAGTACATGTTGACATTAATATTAACTAAGATTAATAAATGCTGTAGAAGTATTGTTTATCATTAGTTCAATGTTAACAAATGAAACTAAAACTAAAAAATAGGATTCCAACAAAACAAAAACAAACTTTAGAAAACGTAGTTCTCAATGGAACTTTTAAGATTACCAAAAGGGGTGACAAAAAACTTTAAGACATTAAAAGGAATTTCAAGAAAATAATTCAGTGTGATGTCTTTGAATTGTCCAGTAAGACTTTATTCCAATATGAATAGGGATCTGATAAATATTACACAACATTTAATAAAAATGAAATCAAGATTTAAAAGCCAGTTTCACTTTATCAAGTAGCATATAGTTTGATTCTTATTTAATACTATTAGTATCCTTTAGCATTACTTTCAAACTTACAAATGTAGAATCATTTGAAACATTCTAATAGGATATTTTGACTAATGAATCTGTGGTCAAATATTTTAGAAAAGTGAAAAAAGGGGACATGACATGTGGCCAAGTATGGTGACCCATACTCTGAATTTGTGCTGTGCATTTAACTCATCCAAGTGCACATACACAGTAGTGAACACACACCCGGAGCAGTGGGCAGCCAATGCTGCTGTGCCCGGGGAGCATTTGGGGGTTCGGTGCCTTTAAAGGTAAAGAAATATAGCTTGATTCAAATTTATATTCAGACAATTTTTCATTTCAATCTGTTCCATACAGTATGTCATGATAAAATATTTCACATAAGATCTTTTTTTTTTCAGAAGGAAGCTGATGCCTACATCACCTTGAATTCACCAGACACATGAAGCCTAAATGACAGAAAAGAGTAATCTTGCTTGTTACAAGGCCAAAGTGTCTCAAAACAAAGTCACATAAATGTATACTTCCTATTGAATGTTATTGCTGTTGTCTGACCCAATTTATGAGTCAGTGGCTGATCAAATCGGATCAGATTCTGGACCAAATACTCTAAACAAGTACACATGTTCACATTTAATTCACGTTTAGACCACTAGACCGCCATGCTTTTGAGAACATGATTGTGCTAATGCACAAAGAATAAACATTTTGACATCAATCTTGTCTAGACCTGACATGTCCATCATATAAAAATATTCAGTAAAGGATTAGGGATCCTCACACCTTTCTGTGCCACAGATAACTGCACTGTGAGAATCACAGATGATAAAAACCTAATTGACATCACTTTTATAAATTAAAGGGGTGGTTGATTGCAATTTCCCTTTTTTAGTATTAGTTGGTGTGTAATGTTGCTGTTTGAGCATAATATCTGCAAAGTTACGACACTGAAAGTTCAATGCAAATGGAGATATCTTTTGTCTTTTAAATTTATTGCAGTTTAATGCCAACAAAAACGGCTCGTAGGGACTATAACAAGCTACTGCCCCGGGTTTGTGACATCACAAACCAAGAAATTGATATAACCCCGCCCCCGTGAAACATGCAACGAAGGGGGCTAGGCCATGTTGCGCTCCTTTAGAGAAGAGGAAGAGTGTTACCGAAATAGCATATTTTACCCATAAATAAAAAATTATTAGTTGAATTAAAAATAAAACTCCAACGTGGAGTTTTGTACTCCAGCATGTTGCCCACCCAGCTAATTAAGATTAATGTTGAAATGTAAGTAATGAGTAAATTACTATAAAATAATGTTATTGTTGTTAGACTGTTGTATTCCTTTGTGTTGTCATTATGCTATAAGTGCATGTGCGCCTTTGTGCAAAATGTTTGTATACTTTAACCACCTCAGAGGAAGGTGGGGGTCCCGAGGTACTGGCACTGTTATTTTGGGGGTCGTGGGCTGAAATGTTTGGGAACCCCTGCTTTAGAGAAGAGGAAGAGTTGTTGCCATGCTGTCAAAACTAGGGGTGCACGAAAAAATCTATTCATATATGAATTGTGATTCTGTCTTAAGTTCTAACGATTCTAATGGATTCACAAGATTCAAAATCAATGTTCTTAAGCAGCGCTTCTTAATACTGTTCCTCGTGTCCCCCTGCTCTGCTCGGCATCTCTCTCTCTCTCTCACACACACACACACACACACCTGATCGTCAGCTCCAATAAACTGTGTTCCAATTATACACTTTATGTGTATAGACAGATATTTTTTCACATAGCTATGAGAAGTGTTAAACATGGACATGCACACGGTTGCCGTGCTGTCTTAAAGCTTTAATCTGGATAAAACCGTATATATTGGTCAGCCTGTTGTCTCATTCTGTGTTCGCTATCACTCCTATTGAAAATGAAAGTGCTTTGATATTTTATTCAGACAGGTTCAGCAGGACCTGTGATTCATAACTTAGTGGCTAGTCTTTAAAAAAATCTGTCCTTGCCCACCACTCATTGCTACACCCCTGATATACAAGCCATATAAACAGATAAATCAAAGGTCAGGAAAGTTCTTGGAAGTTTCTCTTTGATAGTTCAACTTAAAAGTGTTATCTAACTAGGTCATATGCTCTATTGGCATGAGCTGATAAAAGTGCTAATGTTCAGTAAAGCTTTATATCTGCTCACTAGCGCCCCCGTGAGGTTAACAAAACAGTTTGAAAACATTTGTGTTTTATTACTAGAGAAGCTCCTCCTATTGTCAAGCACTAATTACTTAAAGGGATTTGTAATCTTTTTTTAACCTTCATTTAACCTAAAGTTAATCACGGCTGCTGTGCGGCAGGGCACAGAGGTTAAGTGAGGAAAGGCTTTCAGCATTTCAGAGAGCAGCTGTACTGTATATACTGTACTGGTTGGGGGAACGAGAGGGAAAACTTCATCACTGACCACTGAAATATCACATATTTATTTGAGGAACCTGTGACCAGGTATTCCTTACCCAGAACCACTCTGCAGTCGATGCCATCAAGGTTGAGGAGCCATGTGCTGGTAACTTTGGAGCGATTCTCCATGTACTTCTTCAGGCTCTGTCCATTAATCTCGAGAGTGTATTCATATGCAAAGCCGCTCACTGCATCTATGTTAATAGTGGCCTTTGTATTTGTACCACCCACATGAAAAGTCTCCTTTCCAACCAGTTTGAACATCCAATCTCTCCTTATGACTTCCTGGGACAGTTATGAACAAGCCTGTGAGGCATCGGCACTTATTTTCCCATCATTATAATGAAAATACTCATGTCACATATTTCCAAAACACTAAAATCAACATCATCAACTAATGGAAAAAAATAAATCCATAATTACACAGCTCTCTGGAATACAGATTGAAAACGGCATAACTTGACCGTTGGCCCTGCCTGGCTACTGATTTTCTACATAGATTTTCTTCAATAAATTCAACAAATGGCAACAAACTAACTGCAACCTTTTCATTTATTTTCATCATTGGTTTGGTCTAAATTATCTATAATTAGCAACCCTAGATAGATTTTCTTAAATAAATTATATAGTATATATACTGAACTTCAATAAGTATTTTCCTGAGTGTCAGCTTTTTGTACTAGAAATTCTTACCTTTCCATCGATGTAAATGACCCGTTTTCCTGTGGTTGTGCCATGTTCAAATTCAATCCTGTGCACACCATCACTCAAAGCCACGTCCCACACAGCTACAAGATCTCCTGACATCATCTGTCCTCCAGTGCCTAACAAAACATCCATATAGATAGATATGACTGAATTGCTCATATTGGCTAGTAATAATAGTAAACATGAGAATAGGCAAAAATGCAGAGCAGAGAAGACGAGTAACGTTACAGTGTACAAACAGGAACATATAAAAGAAAGTATGTATAATAAATATATAGAGAAGAAACGACATTATGAATAGATGTAGACATTTGTGCTTAGTGATTCATTATTTGACAACGTAATTTACTGCTGTGAATCTTTTGAATGATGAATGCTCTGTTACATTTACAAAACAATATCACTGGATTTTGAGCGACATAAAAAGGTCGAACGTCTGTCTGTCTTGTTTCATAACCAATAACTTAAATGCTAAACATTACCTATAATAATAAAGAGTAACGTAAAACACTGATAGCATTGTCAAACGCCTTGCGTAGAGAATGGAAAGAAATCGTGCAGTGAAAATGATTGGTAAAACGATTTTCTATGGTAAGAATACTTTAAGAAATCTTGACAAAGTAACGTTAGGTGGTTGGCGATGTGTCAGAGCCATTCAATCTGTCAACCTGAGTAAACTGTCGGTCATTCAAAACACAAGAGTCAGAGCATTAAAGACAATAATAAATACATGTAGTTACCGATCCAAATCAGAGCAGAAATAAAACGCTTTTGTGTATATTTGATTAGCTTTTCCTCAAGGCAGAAAATAGTAACACAACTGACGCCAACAGCATCAACACAACTAGCTCCAAATTTAGCCAACAACAAATCTGCTCCAGCTAACAACAGTTACTATGGCAACGGCTTATTCTTCTTCTACCCGCGTTGATGTAGGGTTAAACGCCCCATTAGACTCTACTGACATCTGCTGTCAGCAAAACAGAACTGTTAGGATGAACGACGGTATGTTGCCCATCGAATGAATGCTACACATTACTGAACTTTTCAGTGCATATACTGTACACGCTTACACATCCATACACGTACATGCAGTCTCTCAGAACTAAAAGGTGGGCATGAGGCTCACCAATCTGTGAAAAACTGCATCTATAAATTGTGGAACATGTTTCTCAACATACAATTGCAAAGACTTTGAATATCTCATCATCTACAGTACATAATATCATCAATGGATTCTGAGAATCTGGCGAAATCGCTGTGTGCACTCTTGAAGAGACAAGGCCGAAAATCTACTGGCTGCCTATCTTTGAGCCCTCCATTGAAAACAGGCATGCTGTAATGGATATTGCTGTATGGGCTCAGAAACACCTCCAGAAATAATTTTCTGTGACACAGGCATGCAACAGATAACGATTTAAAATTGGAAGATGAAGGAGGAGTGTCTAGTCAGTTTTATCTAAAGTGAATTTCATGCTTTAATAAAGGCAACAGTGTTTATCAAAGAAATAAGCTTGATCTCCCCATCTGCCGCTCCAAAATGCTCTTTCTCTCTATGTGTCTTCACGAAATGACCTTTTATTTGACCTTCTTCTTCACTCCGAAAAGCCACTGGTGTTTTAATCTTCGTCTTGTGCATTTGCATTAGTTTTTTTATGACACCTTAATAAAAGAGACAAAGAATGAAGACAAAAAAAACACTATTACTAATAAAAGGTTCTTTATATTTAATATGAAGGTCTATCAAGAAACTCTAGGGCGCAATTCTTTTTTTCTTTCCGGAAAAGTAGCTAACCTTTTACTTGGACAAGTGACCTATTTCCGAAGGTTGCCCAGTCTCGGTCGTGCATCCCCAACATAAAAAGCTTCAAGGAGAAGAAACCTGTTCAGTAGCTTAAGTCTACTCTTTTTTAAACGTTAATACAATCATACGACAACACACACAAAACAAAATAACATGAATGCAATAACCAACTCCAATACGTCTATAAGAAATAATGTATTTATCAAATTAAACGACTTCAGTGCGTTATAATTTTCATTTTGGCCAGCCAGGGCTTTTGTCATTTGAAGAAAACACATGACGGCGCACATATATGACGCAAAACACCCGCGACGCGACGCAGAGCTCCTTCGGCGACATTGAGGATCGTCAAACTCACTGGAGTTTGTGAAGTTTCGCGATGGCGTTGCGGTTATTTCGGCTGGTTGTGCCCTCGGGTGCAGCTGCTTGGAAAGCAGTATCGCCTGTGGCGACGGTAAGATTGATAAACAGCCTTTCCACACCCCAGACGAAAAGTTGATCTGTTCTGTCGGGCCTCATGTAGTCCAGACTGAAGGACAACAGCAAAACTAACACTTCTTACTGTCACATTGATGCATCTGTTTATATGTTTGCTTAATCAATGTTACGTTTATATATACTTGCGTTCACGTAGGTTCAGAGATTACCAGTAGGCCTATAAAACAATGAAAACTCCGTATGCAGCTCACACTAGTTCTGTCCAAACAAACTGTTTTGTTGTTTGTATTGAAAAACCGTGTCAGCAATTACTAATGGCTTGACATATGTATAGAGATATTGCAGCTGATCATGACTATGTATACGCTGTCAAACTACCCTATTTGCAGGAAAAAATAACATGATGTGTTAAACCCTTTAGGCTCAAATCCACACAAGTGCTGTTAGAAACCTGCGGTATGGATGGTGGGCTTATGCTCTGGGAGAGAGGACAACCTCCCGCTTCAAGGAAAACAGCAAGATCATTTCCATTGATGGCAACTTGGCATGTGGAAAGGGAGCGCTTGCACAAAAATTGGCCGATAAACTGGGTAAGACAATATCTGGCTCCATCTATTTTAAAAATGTTTTTTTTATATATATATGTTAAGTGCCTGTGTGTGTGTTCGTATGTGTATGTAAAATAAAATGATTAAATGTGTCTCTCATCAGGAATGCTGTACATGCCAGAGCCAGACACACACTATGTGGACAAAATGACAAAGGAGAAAGTTCCTCTAGATAAGGCTTTTAATGGAAACTGCAGTCTGGAGAAGTTTTACTTGGAGCCCAAAGCCAGTGATGGTAACTCTTACCGCCTGCAGTGTTGGATGTACCTCATGAGGCTGCTGCAGTACTCTGACGCTATTGAACACCTGCTTTCTACAGGTAAAACAAACCTGTTTGATACTCCATAGCTGTTCACTTGAATAACACACAGTTTGATGTTGTGATTGAAAATGAAAACCTTACAGCACAAGCATGTTTTCTCTGTTTCCCTTTCTCAGGACAGGGAGTTATTCTGGAACGCTCTCCATTTAGTGACCTTGTATTTTTGGAGGCCATGTTCAAAGAAGGCTTCATCCGAAAGCAGTGTGAGTGATTATGTCTGAAATTCATAATATGAAGTAATGTAAATAGTGAAAAAATGCTGGTGGTCATATTACAGCAGATAGTATATCAGAGCTGTTTTCTGTTTATTGAAATGAAAAGGATGTATGATATATGTTGCTATTCTGCAGGTGTGGATCACTATAATGAGGTTAAGGGCATCAGTATCTGTGAGTTTCTGCCCCCTCATCTGGTCATCTATGTGGACGTACCTGCTGAAGAGGTCCAGAAAAATCTCAAGGTATCAGGAAAGGTTTGCGTGAGGTGGCGAACACACTGATTAGACTATCTATTGGTTGAAATAATTAATCTTTTGATTTTAATGTACAAAAAGAATCTTTTATTTTGAATACATTTAAAACTTTCTTGATTATTTTTTTGCCACCTGGGAGTTTTATGTATACTTGGGGAAACAAATGACAAAATATTTTTAGATTTTGACACTTTTAAAAAAATATATTTTTGTAATTTTTTTTGTCAGAATTAAAATATTTTATTTTTTATACAAAATATAGTCAAGCAAGTTATGAAGCGGTTTTTCTATTTCAGCTCTCATGCTAAAACTATCTCAGCTTTCTGACTAATAAGGGCTCGGAGTAAAGCGTTAAATATGTCAAGAGATTTTGATGAATGCAGGAAGGGATGATTATAAAATGGTGACTGAATGACCAACAGCACATGAGTGAATAGAAATGTTTTATCGCCTTACACAGTCAAACCTCCAGAATGTTCCTTTAAGCTACCTGAAGAGGATTGAGACCGCGTACAAGAAAAACTTCCTTCCTAAAATCAGGTCATATATATCATAAATCATATATGTGTGTGTATCTGTATATCTATATCAGTACTGTAATGTTTGTTTTATAGTATCGTTAAACATTTTTCTTAGAGAATTATGAATTATTGTTTTCTTTTCATTTGACAAAAAATAAGTTAAAGCAGGTGCTTAATCTGGTGATGCGAGTATATCAAACAAGTTTTCAGTTTTAGTTTTAAAAACTTATGTCTGATTTTCAGTGAAGAGGCAGAGGTTCTTGCCTATAACGCAACCCAAGCCCAGGACATTGAGAGGGTAAGGACCGAACCTGTATATGGAGGACATTGAGGCAGGCAAATGTCATTGCTCTGACTCTGTTTTTCCTTTTCAGGTTGTGGAGGATATCGATTACCTCAAGTTTGAGAAGGGCCCTTGGCTGGAGCAAGATGACGTCACTTTCCACCATATGCGAATGTTGTGAGTGCTTGATTTATTTACGTTTCACCATTTTATTTTCTTCTGTAGACTGTTCCTTGTGCTGGCTGGAATTATTATCTGTCATTTAGTTCTGGTTGGCAACATCAAACACATTGAATAAATCTTTGTTGATATCATACTTGCTTTAGTTATTTAACTGAGATATTATATATATATTTGTTTTGTAGGTTACAATGGGGCTAAAGGCACACCTTAAAGAAAATGGGGAAAATTATTCATAGACCCTTATGACTGGTTTTGTGGTCCAGGGTCACATATATATATATATTTTATTATATGGTTAATTTCACATTTTTAATTGTGATTACCAACCTAATAAATGATACCAACCATCTGATCTAAGCATGTCATGTCAGTACATGGAAAAGTGAGCCATCTGTTCGTTTTCTTAATTATTGTGCCTTTAGCAACAACAGTAAAAACAATAATTTAACCGTTTTTCAATAACGGAAAAATATATAAATTTACTTTGAACAATACAAAAAAATATATATTAGTTCAGTTTAGGGCAGAATAAACTTTGCATTGCTGCCACTTCAAGAATCAGAAACATTTGAATGTGTATATAGTGAAAAGCAGGGAAAGAAAGGTTCTGTTTTTGTGCCATCTATTGGTTCAAAGGAAATGACAGCAAATGTGCCTTTTCTCCTATTTTTCCCCATTCACTAGCGTGGAGGACAAGCAAAGAGTAGCCAACATGACCTGCATCCCCAGATATCTTCCAGAAGTCACAGTCGGTGCTCACGAGTTTGATGCTGCCTACTATGCTTTCAAATCGGTATGTGCCCTCCACTGTGCCACTAAATGTAAAAGACTGATCATAGACCACATGTAATGGGTTGCACGTGTTTAAAATCTAATTTTGTCCATGTGCAACTATTTCGGAACTCTATTAGCTATTCTTATTTAGAATGACAGGTGATATTAACTCCATTTATTAGAGAGAATGGAGCAGTGATGCTTTGGGTATCTCCGTGTTGATAGATCCACCTTAAATTATATTTTTGCCAGATACATTTGTGTACAAGTTATTGAGTGTCCAGGAACCCAGTGTCCCAACAAGTGCCTGCATAATGATTGAGTATTTTCGCAAAGCAGGAGTGTCACCTGAGGACATTCAGTGATATCGGTGGCATTACAAAATCAGGAGACAGATAGACTTCTAGAGTGGGTGACAAACACTTTGTATGGCCATTAATGATTCCTGGCACTGTTATATTGATCTTGGGGAGTGATGAG